AAAATGGCTTCTGCTGAGGGCCAGCGAAGGAGGTGGGCATTTCTTGTGTATCACTGGATGAAAAGGTAACTCCAACTCTTGGAGGTCTGTCAGGGCTTGTTTCAGTGATTGAGCTGCTTGATCTGAATTTTACAAATCCTTTCCTTACCTTCTCTCCATTCCAGCAGAAGAAAAATTGTAAACTACATTCCAGAAAGCAAGTAATGCTCCCTTCAGGACTCCTGATTGTCTCTTGATCCCAAGATATATCATTATCTATTAGGTTTTTTTCCCCAACTCATACGTTTTATGATTTTATTCTATAAATTTCAAATTAATTGAACATACAGTATTGTCAGGTGCACATATCAGAACCCCTTGTGGATAGACCCATGTTGATCATCTGTATTACATGACTATCTGCCTTGCCTTGGGAAACAGCAGATATAGAACTAACAGTTTGAACTCAGATGATTCCTCCCCTAAACAGACTCTTAAGCTGGAATGTCTCTTTACTCCCTCTAACCCCCCCCCCCCCGCAGCCAATGGTTCCACCACAAGAGTTGAGGCATGTATTTTTATATTTCCAAAAACAGGTAATCCTCAACCTACAATCACAATTGGAACTGGAATTTCCATTGTAAGTCGTTGCAGATCTAAGTTGAGTTGGACCTGATTTTATGACAATTTTTACTGCAGCCGTTAAGTATATCACACAATTGTTAAGTAAATCCAGCTTCCCCAATTAATTTTTTTTGCCAGAAATCAGCAAAAATGGTTGATGGTTAAATTGTGATCATGTAACAGCAGGGCATTGCAACCAGTTATAAATGTAAAACAGTTGCCAAACATCCAAATTACAATCAAGTGATTATGGGGGTCACTTTTTCCATGGCTATCATAATTTTGAACCTTTGTTAAATGAATTTTATTTTATTTATTTATTTATTTATTTTTGAATTTGTATACCGCCCTTCTCCCTAAGGACTCAGGGCGGTGTACAGCCACATAAAAACATAAGAGTACAAATATTAAAATACCATTAAAAGATATATATAAATTTGGCCCCATAATTAAAAACAGTAACAAACCAATTAAAACATTTAAAAAGTATTAGGCCAGCCCGGCTTGCTGGAAAAAGAAAGTTTTAAGGGCACGGCGGAAGGCACCGAGGTCTTGGATTCTCTTTATCTCTGGGGGCAGCTGATTCCAGAGGGTAGGTGCCCCCAGAGAGAAGGCCCTCCCCCTGGGGGTCACCAGCCTGCATTGTTTGGCTGATGGCACCCCGAGGAGGCCCTCTCTATGGGAGCGCACAGGTCGATGGGAGGCCGTTGGTGGCAGCAGGCGGTCTCAAAGATAACTAGGTCCTATGCCATGGAGCGCTTTAAAGGTGATAACCAACACCTTGAAGCGCACCCGGAAGACCACTGGGAGCCAGTGCAGCTCACGCAGGAGAGGTGTTATATGGGAGCGCCAGGTAGCTCCCGTGACTACCCGCGCGGCCGCATTCTGGACCAGTTGGAGCCTCCGGGTGCCCTTCAAGGGGAGCCCCATGTAGAGAGTGTTGCAGTAGTCCAGGCGAGAGGTGACGAGGGCATGAGTGACTGTGCACAGGGCATCCCGATCAAGAAAGGGCCGCAACTGGCGGATCAGGCGAACCTGACAAAAAGTCCCCCTGGCAACAGCCGTCAGATGTTCCTCCAAGGACAGCTGCGTATCCAGGAAGACTCCCAGATTGCGAGTCCTCTCCGAAGGGGCCAAAGACTCACCCCCAATAGTCAGTGATGGAGTCAACTGACTATATCGGGATGCCGGGAACCACAGCCACTCAGTCTTGGAAGGGTTGAGCTTGAGCCTGTTTCTCCCCATCCAGATCCGCACAGCTTCCAGGCATCGGGACATCACTTCAAGGGCATCGTTGGGGTGGCCTGGGGTGGAGATGTACAGCTGGGTGTCGTCAGTGTACTGATGGTACTTCACCCCAAAGCCACAGATGATCTCACCCAGCGGCTTCACATAAATGTTGAACAGAAGGGGCGAGAGGACCGACCCCTGAGGCACTCCACATATAAGAGGCCTTGAGGTCGATCTCTGCCCCCCTGCCAACACGAACTGCGACCGGTCTGAGAGAAAGGAGAACCACCGTAGTGCGGTGCCCCCCATCTCCAACCGGTGCAGCATGATACCATCGTCGATGGTATCAAAAGCCGCTGAGAGGTCTAACAGGACCAGAACAGAGGAGTAACCCCTGTCCCAAGCCCTCCAGAGATCATCGACTAACGCGACCAATGCTGTTTCCATGCTGTGCCCGGGCCTGAAACCCGACTGGAACGGATCTAGATAAGACGTTTCCTCCAGGTACTGCGGAAACTGTCGCGCGACCACACTCTCGACAACCTTCGCCACAAAGCGGAGGTTGGAGACAGGACGGTAGTTGGCTAATACTGCCGGGTCCAGGGAAGGCTTCTTGAGGAGAGGCCTCACTACCGCCTCTTTCAAGGCCATGGGGAAGTAACCCTCACTCAACGAAGCGTTAATAATTCTCTGGAGCCAGCCCCATGTAACCTCCCGGGAAGCCAGTACTAACCAAGAGGGACACGGATCCAGTAAACATGTGGCCGCACTAAGTCTCCCCAGAATCCTGTCCACGTCATCAGGGGTCACAGAGTCAAACTCTTCCCAGATAACATTCTCAAGACTATTCCTCGCCACCCTGCCCAAATCTACCCAGTCAGAGTCCAAATCCCCCCGGATCTGAGCGATTTTGTCATACAGATATTGTCCAAAATCCTCGGCCCTGCCTTCCAGGGGGTTCTTCCGCACTCCTGGATGGAGCAGGGAGCAGGTCACCCTGAACAGGGCGGCCGGACGATTCTCTGATGACGCAATAAGAGCAGAAAAGTAATTAAAGTTTGCCACCTTTATTGCCACTAGGTAGGTCTTAATATGCGACCTTACCAGTGTTCAGTCAGATTCAGCGAGACTGGCCCTCCAACCACTTTAATCCTTGATTAAAGATAATCAAGGATTATCTTTATAGGGGCTTCCTTTTTCCCAAAGCATGATTACAAAGCTATAGTGTTGTAAAGGGGAACTATAGTCAATCATTTTAGGTAGTCATTTTCATAATTGCAAAACTAGGATGGCTTGAATCTTCAATTATGCATTAAAAGTATAAGATAAAGTACAACAAACATTTTTATGTTTTCATAGACAACATTTTTGAAAATTTCTAAGTTATTTCTGTACAGATATATTTTTGTTTTGCCACAAGTGTTACCATTGTTTGATATGAATAATTTATTATTGACATTCATTATGAATAATTTCTGATTTCTGCCTACAATTCAATATTCTCCTATTTTTATGTAGCCTGCATTTACATAGGTCTTGCTCAAAGAAATCCATATTTATGCATAATTTTAATAAATTGTAATTTATTACAATTTGTACACACGGTAAGCCATAAACAGGCTGGACACAGTACATAAAGCCAAAAGTAAACCAACATGTTACAGCTTAATGTGCTATGTGAACCAAGCCTTAATATCCTTGAATTGAGAAGAGATCTTTCTCTCTAATTTGTGATGTTTAACATCCTAAATTAAACTTCTTTTAAACTGTTTTGCACACATTTTATCATCTCATAACTGTTCTTATGATCTTAAGCAATTGTTTTGAAAAAAGGTAAACCATTGATTTACTTTATTTTCATGGTGGTGGTTTCAGAAATTTATTATAGCTTTAGATAGCCAATTGGTCCAGGGGTTAAGGCATCAAGCTAGAGTTGAGGAGATTGTGTGTTCTAGTCCCATTTTAGGCACCCAGCACTGGGTGACCTTAAGTTAGTCGCACACCTTCAGCCCTAGGAAACAGACAATGGCAAACTACTTCTGAAAAACTTTGCCAAGAAAACACACTAATCTAACAGTCACCAGGAGTCAACAGTGACTCAAAGGCACCCCATATTACAATTTTTACTGATTGTCCCCTATTTTGAATATTTACCTGGCTCTCAATATTTGTTTTCACTGTTGTTCATTGAGGTACTATATTTAATTTTCCACATCTTCTACCACAGTCTCATTGTGGGACCTGGGTCTCAGAATATAGAACAGTTTTCTGTAATATTACCTTCCTCACCTATGGACTGAATCTCTCTTGCAAGGTGACAAGTTGGGTTCAAGGAGTAGCAAATGCAGCCTTGTCATTTGACTTGAAAGAGGCAGTGGTATAATATTACTCCTCCTCCCCCCTCCCTGCAAAGAAGCCATTCCTCAAGTTGTTGTGGATAACTCTTGGACTATCTCTTACTTTCCTTTTTTAGGAAGATTGTTGAGAAAGTAGTTGGGTTAAAACTTCAGAGAGCTTATCTGGTTCCTTTCAAATTCAGTCATGGATATAGGAAAAAAATGGCATTGGTCACTCTTTTGTGTTTGGGATAGTGGGAGATTGACTTTCTTAGTCTTGTGGAATCTCAATTATCTTTCTTGACCATGATATCCTTCTAGAATAGCTGTAAAACTTGGGAATGGAGGGTATTGTGCGGCAGTGGTTCTCATCCATCCTGAGTGGTTGGTTTTAATCATTGGAGCAGTGTGTGGATATGAATCCAGATACGTACAGGATCGCATTCTCTGCCAGTCTGAGCCTTCCTAAGTCCAAGTGAACTATGTTATGTGAATCTAGTGAGGCTATCACTTTTGGTTAAGAAAAAATTGAATTTATTGCAAAGATTTGTTGGTTTTCAATTCTTGTTAAGGATGAAAGGTGGAAGGATATAGTATCGTCTGCTGGCATGACACTCTTGATTACATTAATTTGTGAAACTGCCTTAATCTGTGTATAATGTAGAAATATTGTTATACTGATAATGCCCATTGATTTGATAACTAGCACTGGTGTTAACTTTAGGTTCTTTTGCTCTGTTAACATTTTAGATACAAAATTAGTAGCTTGTAATAATTTTTGCTTAACAGGAAAATACTGTGGTATATCATAGACTTTGTTTTGATTTGCAGATTCCTAATGTATCCCACAAGGCTCTTTGCAATTGCAGTCCAAGAAAACAGAGATGTTCAAGAGCAGTTACCTATTCAACAAAAGCAGATACAATTTTTTGATTGGGCCTTTAACAAAATGGACAGTTCTATCAGAAGACATGGGTGCATTACTAAATCCCTGTTAGAAGACATATTTCATGATGCCTGCAAAACAGGTAAAGAGTTGTCTTCTTAATTCTTATTGAATATCACTAATATAAATGTTATGTTAATATATTGATTATTGATATTGTTTATATTTTCATTTCTCTGGAATCTTGTTTTAGAGGGCCTACAATCAGAATTTTCACTCTGTATATGTGAGCAGTAGATAGGATGTATAAAAATGTTATAAAATGTGATTTTATGGAAGTTAGAAGCCCCTTCTGCATATCTCCTCTGCTAAGAGGCTAAAATATCAAACCAGGAAAAACCATTATTGTTTTAGTTATCTAGATATCTTCAATAGAAAATTCAGTTTCCCCTTTCCCCCATTCAACCTGCAAGTCCATACAGTGGTTTTTTTATAACTATAAATTATTTTGAATTTCAGAGTCCATTGTATAGTGTTCATATTTTGATGTTTACTAACATTTAGATGTTTAAAATCTTATTTAAAATCTTCACACATTGAGTAGTTCGTAAATGTCATTTCCCCTTAAGAGTTGGCAAAATGGGTTTTCCTCTGGTCTTGTATGTTTTTACTTTGTAATTGATTTCTTTTTTCTCCAAAAAATGTAATTTGTATTCCCTGCTTTTCGTAATATTCTTTGTTCAGTATTTTCTTTTCCTTCATGGGGCCATTTTGTAAATTGACTTGCTCCATTTTGTGATGGCCTCCACAAAAGCTGCTCATGATTCCAAATGGGCCAGCAGGATTCCAGAAAATTTGAAGAAGTCTAAAAGAAGGTCTTTAATAATAGCTAGATGCATAATGCAATATCCATAACAGTGTAGAAAACAAATAAGTAGCCTTCAAGTTATGACTGGTCACTTAGTGACTCTTCAAAGTTATAATTGACCCATAAAAGAGGGCTTAGGTCCTTTGAAATTTCGACGATTGGGCCTCCATTGGTTTGCTTAACAAATGCTGCAGAAACCATCATAAAATCAGATTGGTCATGTGACTGACCTATTTTACAACCGTCACAACATATCATAATGGGCAGACTCCATTATAGTTGCGTGCCAAGGACTATTTGTTCATTTATATCTTTAATTCATTGTACCTCTAGTCAAATAAGATATATACATGAGTATACTAATGCTTCCTGTCTTTAAGGTTGTATCTGTATATTTTCCTTATTCTGTAAAGTTTGATTTGTTTTTCATTGTTTGTTGATACAAAGAAGACTAGAATGTTTAAACTGTTCAAAGCCTCTTATTTATGGAAAGTTAAAAGTTGTTGCATTTCCAAATTATTTTGTTCTAATTTAGGATTTCCAAATGGTAACCAGGCCTTGCTGCTGTTAAGAAGCTGTGGCTCACTGTTGCCTGAGCTACCTCCACTTGAAAGAACAGCACTTGCTCATACCATGTGGACAAAACTGAAAGGGGCTGGTATGTGATTTAAGTAAAATAAACCATATAGATTAGCATGTATGTTTTTTATTTAAAAAATGATTTGGTAATATTTTATCTATTACCATTCTTTAATACCGGTTGCTATGACATTTTTCAGGTCAGTTTCCATATTTGGAGAGCTATGCTGACATCTAGGGGATTGATAGTAAAAGCAAACTATTTTTATTTTATCTTCAGTTAATTTAGCTTTATGTTTATTGCTTTTGAGACTAAGTTTATTGATCTTGTGTTTTGCTTGTCAGGTTATTAGATGGAATTCTGTGCAGTTTTCCACCTGGGTTTCTTAACTGAACTGCCTGGTAATATTTCTTAAAGGTTTTGGATAACAGCTTATGGTGTTCAGCATCAATTTGGATACTTTAGACTTAGCTCCAAACCGCGAATTGGTGCTACAGAAGGAAAATATGTACCTGTTCATCTTTTTTCTTCCCCTTACCCCCTGCCTAAATGACTTAAATTCCCTATGTTACTTCGGTGCTAACCATAAATTGTTGTTACTCCAAACTTAAAAAGCGAGAATTGAAAGAAATCAAATGTCAGGAACTATTGTACAGCACTCCATGTGCTAAAGTATGTAACTCACCCTTCCCCAACTTAATGGAGAAATTTTAGCTGGGATCTGCTACCAACCAGAGTTAGTTCCCATCATTCATGACAAATAGTATCAAGAGCTGTATATATTTTTGTGCAATAGTAGCAAGGCATCTTCTATCTACTCTTCCTTTAGGGGTTATCATTGCATTGGAAAATAGTATCAAAAATGTCCAATTTTAAGATGAAGCTTGGGTGAGCAACAAGGACTGCCAAAATCCGATGTGTCTTGATTTTTAGTTCATTTTCTGTATATTACTGTTGTGTCAAACAATTGTATGAACTTTTTATTGTACTGAATTTTATTTTATTTTTACATTTTTTTACTTAGGTGTTGTATTCGACGTCAGCCATTATAACGCTTTGCTAAAAGTTTATCTCCAGAATGAACATGATTTTTCTCCAGATGAATTCCTAACAAAAATGGAAGAGGCAAATGTCCAGCCTAATCGGGTAGGTATTTCATAAAGGTATTTTCATAAATTTACTGTACCATTTGATAAATAGCAATTCTCATTTAATTCTGTTTTACAGGTCACATATCAGCGACTGATTGCTGCTTATTGCAACAAGGGAGATATTGATGGTTCCAGGTAACAACATAAACAAATAGCTTGCGGGAAATCTTGTGGGACAATCTTACATGTGTTTATTTTGAAGTATCTCCAATTGCGTTCAGTATAACTTACTCCAAATCTTGGGGAAATTTCAAAGAACTCTTTCACATAAACCGCTTAGAGAGGGCTGTGAAGCTCTGTGAATCGGTATATAAGTCTAAGTGCTATTGCTATTTTCCTGACTAGGCCATATTTTAATATATGAGTAGGAAGCCAGAAATTGAACAGTGTCTCTTAAAAAATGCCTAATTTTCCCTATTTCAATTAAAATATCTTTGAAGCTAAAATGGTGATTCTTAGGCAGAATGATAGATTGACATGTTCCTTTTTGCTAATCAAATTTTAGAATATTGTTCCATAATTCTTTTAACTAAAGCAACTGCCAGTGTCATTCCTCTGCCTGTGTCTTCCTATCTCTATTTGTTATCTATAGCTCTACATACATTTTTCCTATTTTTCAAGGGAAAATTTATCTGATTTTGTTTTCATTTGCAGCAAAATTCTTAATATTATGAAAAGCAAAGATCTCCCAATAACAGAGTTGATTTTCAGCGCCCTTGTCACTGGTCATGCAAAAGCTGGGTAATTTATGTTTCTTATTCTCCTTAAATCATTGTCTAAACTTAATCTTAATTAGCCAATTATATTTTTAAATAGTTTGAATAGTTACAATAGAATCTATTTCATAATGAACTTCCTTACCTTATTCAGAGATCTCTGCTCATTCTAATATGAATGAGGATTTCCTGAATTGAAGCAGCTCTGCACATTAATATGAAGCAATATCTTTTTGTATGAGTGTCTTCTAGGATGTGTGAGCTTGCTTGATCTATGTTCCAAGAAACATCCTATTCACACGTGTGAAATTACATTAAATGCATCTTTTTAAATTGGTTTGGAATTGAAAATAGCTGTTGCAGGCAAATTTGAGAAGGGGAGTTTTGATCCTTTTTCTGCCATAATGCTGATTTTGAAACAACATCTACTACTTCAATATACATAAAGGTTCAATATCATATGCATGTCATTAAACAAATAATATGGTTAGATAAGATTTAATATGAGTAGATAAGATTTAAAAACTCCAAACCACAGACAAGCCGTGTGAGGAGATAATTGACATATATTAAGAGTCTGCCAATAGAGTGGGCTGTTGGAAAGGATTTTTCTGATACAGTAGTCTTTTTTTCAGAGAGATCTTGAATATTTATTACTGGATCAGTCCAAATCTGAAATTGCTGAAAATATCCACATCCCGTATACAGTACGCTGATACTTTTTTTGCTGTGACTGTGAATCTTTTTTTTTAGTAGAGCGCTTTCATCTTTTAACATAGTTCCTGAGCACTTTATACAAAAAAAGTCGAATTTTAAAAGTTGATGTTTTTCTTCTAATACATTCCACAGCTATTTAATTTTGTGTTCATTTCCTTTTACACAGCCATTTAATTAAATGTAAATAAATGTTAGATTCTGGACTTCTGGTTTCATTCATGGGCTAAGGACAAATGTCAGTCATGAAATACGTGTAATTATGTATGGTATTTTTCTCCATAATATTTCAGAGATATGGACAATGCAGTCAACATCCTTTCTGTCATGAGAGACACTAAAATTGAACCTGGTTCGGACACTTATTTGGCACTCTTGAATGCATATGCTGAGAAAGGCAACATAAACCAAATTGAAGAGGTAATTCCCTTTGTAAAGCTACAACTTATATCTCAGCTTAGGGCACTTTTAAAAAATAATTTGCTTCTGACCTTTTTAAATACAGTTCTTCCATAACTCACTATATATCTATCATATTAATCCAGAAAGGAAGATAGTCCTGAATTTGAGATGATATTCAAAAAAAAAAAAATGAAGATTATACAGGGAATACTGTATGAATACACACATAAAAATAAATATAATAATCCTATATAAAGCCCAACTCCATATTATGTCAATTTAAGATTACCAGAGCCACCTAAAACTAATTCTGTACATCTTTTTCATCCAAGAAGTTTATGCAGCTGATACTCTTTGCATATATAAACAAATAAATATAAAGGCAATGCTTTGGATAGACCTTGGATAAGAACAAAATGTTCCTAATTAAAATTGTCTATAAAAGTATCCCTTTTTAAAAGGAATAATTGATTATGCATGCCTAAACTATTTCCTTTCATATATACAAAAGTAGTAGGGAGTCATGGAGCTGACAGAAAGAAATGATATAACGACAGAGAAAGAAAAGAAAGACTATTTACGAAAAGCTCAATAGGAGCTGTGCTAGCTCAGCATGTATGAAGACTTACTCTATTTTAGTCCTTTGCAGTTATTATGAAGTCCCATTGTTTTCCAGTCTATGCGTATTGGCAAGAGTCTACAGTGAGATAGAAGCCATCATCAAACTTAAAGCACTTCATTAAACTTATAGCTGTTAATGACAGCTTAAGCAATAATTTTGCTTAAAATTATTATTACATATAATAATAATAATTACAATAATTTTGTCAGTAAGCAAAACAATAATTGTAAAACGGTGCCATGTTTTGAATTCTGCAGTGACAATTTTATGGTAATCCCTCAAGAAATATTGTCTTAAGACCTGTTTACCTAATTAGCCAATGCCATATATCAGTATTGAATCAGTGTTTGCTACTTGCTAGGCATGTTATAAATCTGAAGAGTTTTTTTTATAGATGTTGCTCTCTGGAAAACAGTGTGTTCTTTTATTTGGTGGACACATAATACGATACCTGTATTGTTGAAAGTAGTACTGGGGAAGTTAACAGCTACATTTCTCAAAAGTTTATAATTGATAGCTAGATTCGTTTTTGTCTTGCCCACAAAACTAAATAAAAGAACAGCAATTATGATGTTTATAATAAACACTAACATAACATTTTTCTGTTTGCTGATATAGGAACTAAAAAATGTTGAAAGGGCTGAAATTTATCTTTCTGAAAGAGATTTTATGGATATCATTTTTACTCTTGCTAAGGCTGGATATTCTCAGTATGTACAAAATATTCTGGAGAAGATAAAGTTTAGTAAAGAAAGCATACCAGGTAATGGTTTTTCTGCAAGTATTTCAGGATATAGATGGCTAATTTTATTCTGTTAATGACATGTTGCGGGGAATGTAAGGTAAATGAGATTTGTTAATGTGTCCTATTTATGTAGCAGCCATAGAACCAGAATTGTAGGTAGAGTATATTTCTTGTGTAAGTATACATGTGTAAATACACATCAAAATATTCTTTTACTGGGATTTTCAGAAAATGCATGTTTATAAACTTTTGTCAATATCTTACAGCTTACATCTTTCCCTCTTTATTTTTATTCCAACTGTAGATGTAAAGAATCTTTGCCTGAGATTAATAACATTTAACTTAGAAGATACAGCTTTTGAAGTTCTGCATTCAGTTTTTGTGGCATTAGGGCTCACCTGTGAAAAACACAATACCCAGTGCAACTTTTTCTTACGACATTGTATAAATATGGAAACGGTATGTGAAGGCTCACAGTGGACCAAACAGGCTTAAAAGTGCATTCCTGCTTACAAAATTTCTCAAGCTGATTTTTGTGGATTGGTTTTAAAAGATGTGTTCAAACTAACCAAATCCAAATTATCAAATCCAAAGTTGGATTCTATGTTGTTTAGTGTCTAGGAATAAGCAAGAATTAACTTTCTCAATCCCTCCTTCCCCTGCCAACCACTAGACTTCTATAAAAATCTTTGGGGCCTTCTACTGTAAGTGGAATGGGTTGTGCTGTGGAAAGCTAACTAATATCCAATCCTCTTTCATAAATTCATATTTGTAAGTGGAACTCTCAGGGATTAATATAATGTGAAATTGGCAGAAAACTTTGCATATGTCTAGCTATTTCTGCTGGCATATTTTTAGATCTATTTTATTTAATTTCTTAAACATATTATTCTGATCTGTTAGGGTTTCCTTATGCACTTCTTATCTTCCTCTCCCCAACTAAGTTCTTCCTATATTCCAACTTAGAAAGAGAATTGCATTGTCTTGTCTCTTAGTCTTTATTTTCATCTGTATTCTGGATTGAAACCCAAGGAATTCTTCCCTGGTCTTTCACTGCTTGGCTGATAATTGTTAAGTGTAATATGGGTTTCCCAGTCAAAGTTTTTTTTTAAATCTGTTTTTCAAGATTTTGTGCTTTATTGTCATTATGATTTTGAATGATTTATTGAATAGTGGTGAGCTTAAATTCTTAAATCTTATTTCTTGCAGCCCTTGGCCAAATTGAAATATTTCTGCAGTGAGCTAAAAGCAAGCAACTTACACCCTTCACCTCTATTGTCAAGTTTATCCTTTGCATTGGAAGCAAAGAAAACTGGTATTTCTTTTTGCTGTTTAGCATTGCTGAAATTTTTGTATATATGTTGTTGTCATGCTCGTTAACTTTTCTCTTTCTGGATCTTTTAAGATTTATCTATTGATATAATGAAGATAATAAAAGAAGAAGGCTTATGTCTTAAACCTCACTATTTTTGGCCATTGCTGGCTCAGCACCAGGAAAAGAAAAACCCTGAAGGTTAGCACTTCTAATCAGATTTTGGTTATCATTAATACTAACACATAATAATGTTAACATGTTTGCACATGAGAACAACTCAGCAACATGTACAACTATCAAAACATTATTGTCTTTTGATGTAGTAGTGTACTGTATATTACAACAATTGCCTTGAAAGGTTATTATTTCATTCTTACTTTATTTTGTCATTGTTAATAATGTCACATTTGAAACTTTACAAAGAGCAATTATTATTTTAGCTTGGTTAAAACCAAGGTTCAATTTGTCACAATATTCTTGGCTGTCTTTTAATATTCTGAACTTGAAAGACAATACTGAAATCTAGACAAGCTTTTAAAATCAGGTTACTTTGTGCAAATTCTTCCTCTAAATATAAAAGAAATGACTCTTTTAGATGAGGTTTTCATCATTCTTTGCAATGATAAATGTGAACTTAGTTACGATAATAAAAGCATAAAACCTTCATTGTTGAATGAACTCTCATGATCTGACAGCATATTGATTGAAGGACTAAAGGATTGAAGGACTAAAATGCTCAGTTTTTGGATTTTTAAGTAGGCTTAAGCATTTAGCAAACACTTTCCCCTGTTACAGATGGGGGTGTCTATAAGATATGAGTAAGAATTGAACAAATATTAAATTTTAAAGGACAATATCTAATTCTTTGGTTTGCATTATTGGTAATTCAGAAAGAATGGACTGATAAAAAGATGCTTTTAAGAGAAGTACTTTCCCCTTGGGAAAATTAAAAACTGTCTTTTTCATCTTATTTCACAGTATAATGTGTTTTAGAATGCGATGCAGAGTTGTTAGTGTGACATGGATGACAAACAAAATGCAAAAACAACAAAAAAAAGAGCTTTTAGCAGGCAGTTCATATTGCAATTTTATTTTAAAATATACAGTCAAATTCCAACTTAGACTAAATGCTGAAACAAGTATTCCCTAATTGTTTCTGGCAATAAAAGTGTGCCAGTCTTTTTTAGAAAAGTCTTTATAAAACAACATTCTCTTATTAACTCTTTACATTCCTGAAAATGCTTAAAAGTACTGGGGAAAATAGCCTAATACAAACTTTGAATTCAAAATTGTTGGCAGTGTATTGCATCTCCTCCAACTATCCCCAAACTATACATACCACAATAAATTTCAGTTTAGCTATGTTTTATTTAATCCTATTTCTTTCCAGTTTGACTTACCTTTATCCCAAAACTAATGAATGGCTAGCTATAAGTAGTTATATTCATCCAGTAAAAAAGCTTCTTGCTGATAAGAAAGAAACAGTAAGTGTTGGTTTCATGATTCTTGCAATGAGAAGATGAATAGGCAAGCAGTTGTGAAGATTAAAATGTAGAAAAACTTTATGTATATTATTAAAAATCATGAGGTGCTTCTTCAGATAATGACTCCTTGACTCTCTTATCAATGAAATTCTAAATGTTGCATTCAGAATTCAATTCACTGTGTCAGTCTTTCTTCAAACATGGTGTGCTATCTTTTTTCTAGTGGTATAAACTTGAACTGAGGAATTATATGAACTCTTACCACAAAATAAGAATTCCTTTATGATGACAACATGTTAGAGTCCATTGTTTCAATAGTAGAGTGTATATGTATGTGTTGTATACACATTTAGCTCAGAGTTGAACTGTTGGATTCTCTTCTTGAATGTGTAGTGTTAAGATGCACAAATTTTCAGAAGTAATTTGTCATTCATTGAAGAAGCTATCCTTCTGTCAACAGGTGGGAAAGCTACTTTTAATTTTAAAAAACGCTTTTGAAATGTATTATTATTTAATTGGAATAGGACACCATTTAGCTATTTGATTTGAAGGCTATTTGTTGGATAATTTAAAGAACTAATGTTTTCTCATCTGTGCCTTGAAAGAGTTATTAAAATATGTTCAATCCTTAAAGCCATCAGTCTAAAACTTTGGGAGGTTAAGGATCCCTAGAGAACATTGATCCTTGTTTTTGCCATCCTAAAATGAAGCAACTGCAAACTTTTTGATGATTTCTCATTATACCTTATAATCAGCTTTTTTTTTTTATCAGGGTGGCTTCAAATAAAATCTCTGTCCCTGCAGACTACTTTGTTATTTGCAGAAAGTTATATGTAAGAGACAGCAGTAAAAACAGAAACCTTTGTTTTCAAATTAAGACTTTGTTTTCAAACCAGGACTAAATTATATAAACCAGCATATTTTATATTGTACCTTTGGAATGTAAATTTAAAAGATTATATTTATAAATCTTACCTTAAATTTTGTCTATAAAGAAATTACGCATTGGGTAAAGACATAGTTACCATGTGAATTTTTTTTTTGGTGTAAAAAAAGCTAAGCAATATAGTTGAGCTTGGTTCATGGTACTTTTCAGGATATACCTTTGTAATTTTATTATCATCTAATCTATTGTAGATAGTTCTGGAGTTATATGTAAAGATCTTCTATGAAATAGGAATTACAAATATGATTCCTCTAGATGTAGTAACAGAAAGAAACAGAGAGAAAGTGCAAACTTTGGTAGATTAGGTAACTGATGATTAAAAGATAACAAATATATCTGTCTACAATTAAATTGTACTTGGTTATCTTGCTTTTGATTAAAAAAATGAATAGTTATCTAATTTGGAAACATCAGCATGTATTTTCTGAGACACTGAATGAGGGATAAGGCAATATGTAAAATAAAAAAAAACAAGTTAATTCTGTTGTCATCATACATAATTGTAATGGAATTTGTGAATGACTTTCAGAAAGAGTGGAAGAGATGCTTTGAAACAATAAGACAAGAGAGGCAGAAGCTTCCAGTGACTTAATGATCAGAGAAATAAATTTAGGAAGGACCTATCCTAATGGTTCAAGTAGTTAAAAGCGACACAGGAAATTTCTACTTTCAGATTTGAATGATTCTGTCAAATTATGTACCTTACATTATAGTGAAATTATATAGAACTAGTCCTGTTTTCTGTCCAGTTTACCTAAGAAATGAAAACCTTCAAAAAGTATATCCATGTTTATTTTCAGTAGAGTACAATGTGGTTTCTGCAGTTAATCAATGGACTAATCCAATGATTTTAAACTGTGAAGTTTTAACAAAGTGTAAATACATATAAATAAATGAAGATTACAGATAGAGTTGGGAGAGATTTTTTTTCTTTTCACTATACATCTTATTCACTATAATTTATCAGTCCCATTTTTGTTTGAAGTTATTTTTTGGAAAAAAAATTGGTTGACAATCACAACATAAATCAGGGATGTCAAACTCAATTTCATTGAGGGCCGCATCAGGATTATGTTTGACCTTCGGGTGGGGTGGACATAGCCAGCTCAACGTCACTTGTGTTGGGGGCACCTATGGTGGCCCAAGCACTCTGCCAGCAAAAACGGGCCCCTGAGCTCCATTTTCAGCTGTGACGGCCTCTTGCAACCCTCTGCCAGTGAAAATGGAGTTTGGGAGTGCTGCCCGCGGCCCTTGCAAGCTCCATTTTCAGCTGTGATGGCTTCCAGCAACCCTCTGCCAGTGAAGACAGAGCTGAGGAGGGCCGCGTGCAGAAGCACTGCAGGCTCGTCCTTCACTATTTCCAGGGCGGCCCTGCGGGCCACATTTAAGCACCCAGCAGGCCGGATCCAGCCCGCAGGTTTTGAGTTTGATGCCCTGACATAGATGATTAAAATACAATTACATTTTTTATTCCATTATATAAAAAGCCAAATTTCACTTTCTTGTTCAAAAGGTAGAAAGTTGGGGAGGGGAAAAAATGAATGGAGAGAGATAAAAAATCCTTATGTTTTCTCTTCTACATTTTAAAGCTCTTTCACACAGATATGGCTTATACTCATACTTCAGGAAATTCAGATGTAAATAGAAATGAACCAGCTCAAAAATTGTGGAAGACTGGAAATGATAGGATTATAGCCTGGTGCATTGTCATAAAGTTCAAATAAAAAAGCAACTACTAGCTTGAAAGTTTTGCAGATCACAAACAAGGCTTTTGTTTTTTTGAAGCTGAACCAAAAAATGCTTCTTGATCTCTTTTTGGTTTTGTAACCAAAAAGCTACAATGCATGTGTGATGCAGGGGTTCAAAATGTGGCCACCAATGCAATCATCAATGATCCAGACCCAAATTTTTTGTCATTAAATTTTTAAGATCTTCTACCTCATCTGGATTGAGTTCACCACCTAACAGTTTGAAGAAGGTTCTGCCCAATTGCAGCAGCAGCAGCATACGGGGCAACCTATATTTGTGCACAATGAGGATCCCTCGTTGGTTTACCTTCCTCCAGTCTTGTCAGATTCTTCCCTCATATATTAGAATTGGGTGCCTGCAGAACTATCCTCATAGCAGGATTCCTTTGTCCAAAGGTATAATTGCAAATGGGTACAGGTTAATGGTCCATTCTAGGTGAGAGGCTTGCTTTGCTGGATGTATCTGTTTCTGAACAGATCCCATGGGGCCAGCTGATCACAGTTGGGTAGATGATGGACATTCAATATAATTTTAGTGACTAAATGAACAAATCCTTTTTAATAAGTTGGAGATGAGTTATAATTGAATAAATGGATTATGGTAGGAATATAGAGAAACAGTGTTGTGTAATGAGTAAGAAACCAGACTAAAAGCTAGAAGATGCTGGGTTGTTGTTCTGTCTTAGGTACAAAGCTAGCAGAATAACTTTGGGCCAGTTCCTCTCTCTCAGCTTTAGGAAAAAGGCATTTGCAAGCCAGTTCTAAAAATCTTGCCAAGAAAAGTTCAGGGACTAATCCAGGCAGTTGCCAGAAGTCAACATTGACTCAGTGGTATTAACAAAGGAAAGGAACATTATTAATAATACTGATTAAAGTATTAAAACTAAATAACATTTTAGGATTCCATAGCACCCAAAGCAAAACAGTGAGTTAAGAGTGTCCATTATATGGCTGCATATTCAGACAATTTAAAGTAATTAGATTCTGGGTTTAGATGTGACAGAACATCTACTCTGTTTCTCCGAAAATAGGACCCATCCAGAAAATAAGCCCTAGCATGATTTTTCCAGATGCTCGTAATGTAAGCCCTACCCTAAAAATAAGGCCAGTTAAGATTGCCAGCCAGACGGATACATTTTTAATAATGTACCCAAAAATAAAACCTAACTGGAAAATAAGCCCTAATGCGTCTTATTTTCAGGGAAACATGGTATGAAGTTCCTGCATGGTCACTGAATACCCTACTTTATATATTTCATAAACAGGCTGGTGATAATTTGTATCCTTGCTTTATGATATACTGAACATAATTGATCATTGTGATTGCTTAAAAGTAAATGCACTGTTGTCATATATGAGTTTAATATTTTTAATTGTGGAAGAAGCAACAATGAATGAAAATTCAGTTAATGGTATTTTTCCATGTCTTCTAAACTTAAGTTTTAAGTGTTACCAGAGCTATTGACAATTACTTTGTAATTAATTATTTCTAAATAAAATTCCAGTTCTTCTGAAATCAAATCACTTTTCTATTTTAAGGCAAACTTCAATGAACGGTGTGGCTTTAACTTACTGTGACTTGTTTACATGTACTTTTAAGTGCTCAGCAGGAATTCACATTTAATTATTTGCACTGTGGTGCACTACATAAAAAATTCATGGAAGTGACACTTTTTCACAGGTTTCTACTGGTTTTAGACAAGGACTTCAGGAAAGTAGATTTTTTTAAAAAAAATAACACATGAGGAAACTTGGACTAATAATGTTTATGCTACTATTTTATATTTATTTACTTGTAATCCACCTTTATTTTTACAAATAACTCAAGGTGCAAACATATCCAACACACCATCCTCTTCCTATTTTCCCCACAAGAACCTTGTGAGGTGGGTTGGGCTGAGAGGGAGTGACTGACCCAAAGTCACTCAACTGGTTTTCATGGCTCACAGTCACAGTCTTCCACTTTCTAAACCTGGTTCCTTAACCATTAGACCAAATAAAAATGCTACTTCCAGTGCAGTTTTTGACATGAATCTCAAATTAACTCAATTCGATGTAATAAAATTCTGTGTATGCATTTCAAGAAAACCTAATTTCTGAACACTTTGTGGTAACCTTTTTTATAGCAATGTTAGTCTCTTATTTCTATTTTATTTTTTATTTTATGCCTTTGAGTCAATGTTGATTCCTGGTGACTGTGTGGGCCAGTCCCTGCAGTTTTCTTTCTTCCACTCAACTGGGTTTGTGCCTAAGGCGGTACTAGAACTCACAGTCTCCTGGTTTCTAGCCTGATGCTTTAACCACTATTGTACACCAAACCGGCATTCACTTTAAAATGTGCTTGTTGTAATGATAAGAATATAAAATGAGGTTATATTAATTAGAATGGTTAAAGACAGAGAAAGAAGCAGTAGAAAGGAAAGGAATAGTAGTAGAAAAGAAAAAGGAATATCCAGGTCCCATGGCATGGGACCTGCCCTTTGGAACGAGCTGCCCCCGGAGATTCGTCGGATTTCCGACCTCCGTACCTTCCGCCGCGCCTTTAAAATGCTATTATTCCATCAAGCAGGGCTGGCCTAAAATATTATTTTAATGGGTTACTGTATTTTAGACGATCAGCCAAACTATTTAATAATTTTAAATTGTTTTTAACTTTTGTATTGTTGGTTTTATCTTGGCTGTACACCACCCTGAGTCCCTTTGGGAGAAGGGCGGTATAAAAATTTAATAAACTAAACTAAACTAAACTAAACTAAACTAAACTAAACTAAACTAAACTGTCCAATCCTGGTCAGAAATTGAAATTAATGAACTTGGCAGTACTTAGTAAATTTCTTGGTAAAATTAGCGAGGAATCAAAGTAGTACTATTATTTACTGTGGAGATGCTGTGGAAGTCTTCCAAAAGAAAATCTTCCAAAAAGACATACATTTATCGTAGTGGGAGAACTAAATACTCCAGCAACTTTAGATTTTGCCTATCATGGTTCTTCCTGGTTCTTAGTGATTGTATCCATGCAGTTTTCTCAGCAGTGTAATAGAAATGGTTTATCATTGCCTCACAGGATTTTTTTTAAAAAAACTTTTATTACCAAGCCTGACCTGTGGAGCTTCTGTGATCAGCCATGGTTGGCTAAAGGCTGCCATCTTTAGCATGCTATTGGAAATGAAATCCTTTTCCAACTATTTAAACTTTAATTGTCTTCTACTTTCTTTATGAGAAATGAGACAATCTGCTTATAGAAAAATTCACATCCTAGGATCCAATAACCTGTATTAGAAGAGAATCAAGCAGAATACAGAAAAACAGAATACAGAAAAACAAAGGCCAATGTAATCTCTGCTTTCTATGTAATTTTGTCAACATAAAATAATCTAAACTTATAAAGCATTATGTAATCTTTATTTCATAGACTGAACTGAGCGATTAGCAAGCTATTGTTTAACACCTGTATTCTTTTTCTTTAGATATAATTAATGTCCTCAAAACTATGGATGAATTGGAGGTAGAGCCAACTATTGACACCTATTTATTATATGTTTTCACAAATTTGGATAACCTTGACCCTGTTCGCCAGAGGATTCAGGTAAGTTTATCATTTGTTTTAGCACTTTAGTACTTAATAACACTCATTGAAATTTCTGGGGCTGTATAGAAGTGAGGTTTAAGACTTTGATTCATGATGGAAGTATCAAGTAGTAGGACGATACATATTTGTTATATCAGATAAAGTAATTTTGTTAATTTTAAGATAAAAATCAACAGAGATGATGCATACTGTTGTGCCTGGAACTATTGCTTTAAAGAGAGCTGTCCTGGGCCAGTTCAAGTTACTAGTGATGAAATTATCACCAAAGGAATGGCTTGGGGACTGAGGACACTCCACTGTGATTTATCTGAGGCACATGTGAATATCAGGACAGACATTGTTTTGCTAAAATACACTTTATATGGGTATGATACAAAGAGATGTATCAGGGCAGTGAAGGATGGGAAACATCCTCAGAGTAAAAGTTGGCAGAGGGATAATGGTGGTGTTGCAAAGAAAAGAAGACAGGCTGCTTTTGGCTTCTTTTCTTCCTTTCTTTCTGGAACAAAAATAATCCAGGTTACTGTGGTGGTGGTTCCTCCATTCCAGAGGAGCATTTCTTCAATACTACATCAGTTACTAGTAAGGCATCTGTTGTCTAGAATTTATTTCTGGATAAAGCCCTTGACTTAACATACATCATGAGAGATCTGACTGAGAGCCAGGCTGCTCTGTAGTACAGCATGTTAGGATTGGAGGACAGAGTAGAATTGTTTTGATCGATACGAATTTTGTCTTATTGATCAGATGCGTTGGGCTAACAGTCTGCCAGTCTGAATATCTGATGATGCTTTTAGGTTGTAAGAGCAGGAAAATAGTGTTAATGGTTTATTTGAATATTTGAACCTTATATGAATAAGGTTCTCTTCCTAAACTCAGTTTCTTCGTAACCCTTTTGTCCTAAGACTTTTCATTGTTCCCATTGAAATTACACACGCTGGAGAGGTTCAGGATTCCATGTCCTTCATATGATCACTAGCCTCTCCCAGCTGGTGTCTTGTCCCACACATAGACAGAGTGCACACTGGGTTTGTCTTTCTTTTTTCTTGAAACCAGTGATCTGAAGACAGAAAAACTTTGCATGGTTGTTCTCATATATAGATCACTCCTTTAGTGATCTTACATGAGGGGATAGTACAAGTCTTTCATGAGATAGAGAACTAAAGTGATCTGAAAAGATGCTTGGTATAACCTGTGTTTTCCTGAATCTGTCCATGATACTATTGAAAGTCTGTTTGATTTGTAAAATATAGAGATGAAAGCAGCAGTTGACATAATTTAGACATTCATGAATTTTGATATTAAAACTGGAAACAAGAATATTTAATCACACTTAATGGCTTGATGAGATACTAGATAACATTTTATAATCTTATATAAGTTGAACATAACAGGAAAGCAAATTATTTAAATAATAATAAGGGCTTGGCCTTATTATCGGGGGGGAGTCTTATTATTTTGGGGGTGTAGGAGGCCCGAGCGGCCTGCTCACTCACAGCTGGGAGTCCGGCAGAGAGAGGTTCCCCTTCTGTTAAGGAATATGCGCAGAGTAACCCTTGAGTAGCAAGATTGTGCACATGAGAAACGGCTGAGAATGATTGTGAATAAGCACTGTCAATACAGACACACTGAGTTGTGATATTCTTTTACTTTTTGGAAAAAGTAAAGCACGGGCGGCAAAAGGGGCAGGGGGGCGCAGGAGTTTGCAGGGATGTGGCTACCTTGGGAGGGCTGGTGGGGTGAGGGACTTGTGTGTGTGAGAGAGAGGGGGGGCTTATTTTCAGGGGAGGGCGTATATTTAGGCCCACCCCAAAAATAAAGCTTGGCCTTATTTTCAGGACATGTCTTATTTTCAGGGAAACACGGTAGCTAAATTCCTTGCAAAGTGAGTTCTCTCTACCATAAAATGATAGTCTATAAACAAAGCATATATTTTAGTCTAGGATATCCTTCACACTTCCTTCCAAAAAAGCTTATCTTAGCTAGATCTCCTTTTCTACCAAATGTAATATTGCACACAGCACATTAAAAACATTCAGAGATATAAAGTTAATTTTATAAAGGACTTTGGCTCTTTTGTACAGCAATCAAAACATTTCTCACTATTGTTAATATGAAAAGCTGGAGAGTTTGCACTATATTTACAATTCTAACAAATTGAAATGGATACTGTCTTTTAAAATGATTGCTTTGAAGGTCTACTGTGCACATTCTGTGTGTTTAGTCTTTAAATTACAATTCTAAAATTATGCTTTGCATAAATAGTTTTTTTGTTTTGTTTTTTTTTGAGAACTTTAATAATATCTGTAAGGTAAGCCGTTGTACACCCTGAATTACAGAAGACAGCCTTGGTCAAGGTTGGAAGGCTGTTGGCCAAACCCACACCAGATCTGAAATATGAAGTATTTTAGAGAGTTTGACTATGATGATATACCAGGTACTACTGTATTCCCATCTTTCCATAGGAAAAAGGCAATCCTTTGGAAACCAATAGATTCTTAGCAGCAGAAATCAGGCATGAAGCTTCACATGGCAGACTGGATAAAGTTTATCAGTTATGTAAGTGCTCTTGTTTTATATATTATCTGAGTAGCCTGTTTGGAAAAGTAGTGTGAGGTAATTCTAAGAATGGTAAATGTTGATAATTTATACAAAAATACTTGTTATTTAAGATTATTTGAAGTAGTATTTTAATATGTCTCTGTTTATGATTAGAAGCAAGTATAATATGTAAATTAGCCTTTTGTTTCATTTTAAAAAGCCCATATCCTTTTGATAGAAGAAAGAGATGATACATTACCTACTGTTCTTAAGATATTCTTCTTAAAAAATATTGCAGAAATTATGTAACTACTATGAGCAGTTTTAATAGATATACCTTTAATGGTCTATTTGAATCTCACTGTGCTATAAAATTAATATAAGCTTTAACACTGTTTTTGAGAACTATACTTAAATGAAAAGAGTTATATCTAATTTGACTGGAAAATCTGAATTTATAGAACACATCCTTTATTTATTTAAGAATAAAGTTTATTTAAACTTAGCCATGAACAGGAACTGATTAGGAAACAGGGAGAAAGACAGGGTTAATATGTCTTTATAGTGAAATATAAAGCAATAGCTCTATCAAGTATGTGTATATAACATTAAATATTTTGTTTTCCTTCATAGCATATTGGTTTTAAAATAACAATTGTTGAATCAGTGTTGTTTAGAGAAGTACAAATCAATGCATACTGAATAATTTAATTTAACTTGCAGTATCTTCTCCAAACACCTGGACAACGGACAGGAATCATATCAGGAACAGTATAATCCTTGGATTTAGAAGGTATGACTTATGAAATCTTATATTTTGGATATCTTTGGTTCCAAGTTCCAACTTTCTTTTTCTGTTATTTAAGGCACTTTTTTAAAATAGCTATTTGTAGCTAATAATATCCCACTGTTCTGGCAGGATCTTTTAGGGCTCTCTTTGTGGCTAGGCTTCAGTGTTGTTAAAGTTTAATATCCTGTTCTAAAAGTGGAAAAGTTAAGGTTCAGTAAATTGAAAACAGAATTTATTTATTTTGTCTTTCATTGTTTTAGATTTATATTCCAGTTTTCCTAGGAGATCATGGCACCTTCCAAATATCCCCTTATAAGAAGCATCTTTGTGTGGGGTGGCTGAGCTAAATTATCAAATCCCAAATTTCATAATGAGCTTCTATTGCTGAAACTACTCTGATAATATCACATTGACTATCAAGTAAAATAGTATTTATATAAAATATTCACAAAGTATTTTATATACATATTATACTTCAAAGATACTATCACAGTAATACTAGTCACAATTAGGATAGATTAATCAGTAGTATGTATTCTAGAGCACACAGTAGATGCTTTACCTAATGCCATCCCATAAATTTATGCCTAAATTCAGATTTGAATTTAAAAACTTTGTAATCATAGTTAATTTTATTAGAGATTGGACTACTCAAACCTAATATAATATATACATATAAGGATTCTTTTTCAGAACTTTTTAGTTTTACTGTTTTTTTTTTCTTTCAAATACTAAAAATCTTGTGTTGATATTAATCCTCACTTAATGATGCATAGGAAAGAAACGTTCATGTAAATGCATTTTGTCAGTGGTTGTAATTTTTCTGTTGAGCTTATATGATACTTGGTGCTATCTACATCTTTTTATTTGTCCTTTATTTGTAGTGCGTTGGTTGCTTAAAGTTTTACTCTTAGTGAACAATTTTTTTTTTCATGTTTATACCCTACCACAATATTATACAGTCTTGGTGGCTCACAACATAAAACTATAATGGAAAGAAATCAGACAAGAATGGTGGTAATTCAAATTTGTGGCAGCAAGACAAAACAAAAAGGGAAATTACTGTTCAAAGAAAAATCAGCAAGTGACAAAAATGGAGACTATGTTTGGCTTATAGGAGAGATGTTACAATTTTGTTACACAGTATTTTTTGGGCCTGACTGTAAACTGTGTAGACATAATAGATAGGAAAAAATGAAGGAAATCAGAATTTGGCTATAGAGAGAGAAAACCAAAAAATAATCAGCATTAAAGTGGAGAGAGCAAGCAAAATAAGAAATGGGTGGCAATTACATGCAAATTGTAGGGAGATGGAAAAAACTAAAATTACCTTATTTGAAAAAGAGATACAGTGACAGACAAGGAAAACAGTAACAGGTACAGGTGAGACAAAACAGATTGTTTTACTATACGTGTGTATCACTAAAGGGGTAAATCATCCTAGTTCTTGGCAAGATGTTTCAAAATCTGAACCAATTGGAAGTAAAAGTGATTAGGATTATATTGTCATTTATCCAGGGAGAAAGACTAAGTTATAAACAATTATTAGTATAGAGGAAATCTGTGAACTGTTTTTATGTTATTAAATTGATATGTCAGGATAAGTTACTTGTCAGTTCAGAGTAGAAATTACCCTGTAAAAGTAATCCAGAGTTAGAAGACACATAGTTTACTAGAAATGCTGAAAGTATATGCTGCTTTTGTCACAGAACACAGAAACCATACTATGAATAGTTTTCCATAAGATTCTCATACAGATAGTCCTCGAGTTATAATCATTTGTTTAATGATGATCAGGAATTATGATGGCCTCATTATAGTGCTTTACAGCTTGTGAAGCCCTTCTGGCTGTTGCAAAACATAGCACTACCACCTTTTGGTTACGTGATTGCAATCGAAGTATTTGGCACTTATAACTGATTGCCAAGTAGCCCACAATCATGTAATCACCATTTACATTCTTCTCTGCCAGCTTCCCCAGAAAGCCAGTGGGAAGCTGACATGGAAATTTGCAGGCTGCTGCTGCTGCTGCCAAAAGACTTTCTCTCGTCTCTGGGATCTGGTTGAAAGAATGGCCAGCTGAGGGGAGCTAAACTCTTTAAAATCCTGAAGGTTTCACCTCTGTTCCTGCTCCCTGCTGAGGGAGTTCTTGTCTGTGCACGGAGGGGAGCTGTACTCCTTCAGCAGTCCAAGAGGCTTCTTGGATGAGAAGTGAAACATTTTCAAAGAAAAACAATAAAGTCCAATTGCCTTGAAAAGGCACCTTTGGGACAACCATGACCTGGATGACTGAGAATTTCCATAGACATTTACTCCTTCAGCAGGACTCAAGACAGGTTCCTGCATCTTACCAAAGGAGTTGCCTTCAATGCATGGAAGGGAGCTGCAATCCTTTCGCAGGCAGCTCTTTCAACTAACCCTCAGAAATGAGAGGGAGCTAAAAATAAAGCAGAAAATGGAGAGGCAGCATGATATGATAAGGTGCCCAAAATGCTTCAAGTGGGTGGGTGGGTGGGAGGCCCTGAGAGGATCGGCAAAGGCCATGCACAAAGTGCTGCTTTGCTCTGAGGCTAAAGATCCTGATTGGATTTCAGCAGGGAGGATTTTCACTTCCTGAGCAGAGTGACCTGGCACAGGTCACATGCGAGTATCTCTCCACTCAAGAGGCTAAAAACATTTCTTGGATTTTGGCAGAGTGTATTTTCAGCTCCTGAGTGGGATTTTCCCTGCTCCCCTGAGGCCGGAATGGGATAACTCACTGCAGCCAACTTGCCACAGCCAACTCAGCCATGGTCATTTTGCCATGGTCAATTCACTGCGACCAAGTTGCCACAGGACAATTCAACAATTCAGTTTAATTATTTAGAATAATTAAAACATTATTTTAATTTTTGTCATTCACTTTTCATTTTGTCCCTCCTTTCGCATCCTTTCTTTAATTATTCTATTCTACCATTTCTTTGATATTAGTGTAACACTTGTCCTGCGGTGAGTTGGCCATGGCAAGTTGGCCGCAGTGAGTTGTCCTAGATCCCCCTGAGGCACCCTGCACTGCTTTCCTGTCTGCTTAATGACCCATGGGATCACTTAAGAACCACAAACAACAATGCCAGGATTGCAGTCATTAAGATAAGCATTAACGTGGCAACTACCTGAACTAGTCCCTGCAGTTTTCTTGGCAAGGTTTCAGATATAGTTCAGTCTCTGAAAGAAAATGATTTGCACAAAGCTGGCTTTGTGCCCAAGACATTACAATTTCTAGGGTAAAGCAGATAAATTTGTTGTAAACATTTAGAAAGCATATCTGAGAAAGAGGAGTATAAAAATATTTTACATTATATATTCTAATCCAGCAATTGTCAAATATGATACTTCTGTTTGAAGAAGTAGAGGTTCTGTTCATGGATTAAAATAAGCTATATCCCTTTGTGGCATTGCTCAGTATCCTGCAGACATTCCTGGATACAACTGTATGCATATTTACTTGTATGAGAGGCAGGACCATATTATCAGGAACTTAGATCACAGAGGAGGCAACATGTGTGCAATTGCACATGGAATGCTTTTGTTTCCAGAGATAGGTTTTATTATTTTCATGATATTATGGGATGAGGCTTGCTCACACGGTGAAGGCTCCAGTTATATAACTTTGAATAGGATTAGTATCTTTACTCATTTTAAAAAGCAATCATTGTTCTACAAGAAAATTCCATATAGTATAATAGTTGGTGATACAAAAATAAATAGTGGAGATTAGGCTAGTTGTTTAAAGCTGTGAGGTTTGTGGTTTCAAGTCAATTTCGTGATGGAAAAATGTATTAAATACAGCAGGCAGTGTAGGTGGTATAGGTAAAAGATTACACAGATTGCATGTATTTGAAATGCAATGAGATGATAGATTCGAACATTATCACAAAAACTCCAGTGGTAGTGATCGTCTGTAAATATAGTAAAATCATTTTGCAAAGATAGGCTTATGCTAAAATATATATGTCAATTATTTCTTAACTTTCTTCACTTAAGCAAATCTTCTGAACTCATGATGTGACTATTCAGTTGTATTGAGCACTCAAAATAAATAATAGGTTTTTTTTTAATTTCCAATTTATTATCTTCTGCTGCCCTCTGCAGGTGTACTGATGTTGATCTTTGGATCAAGGTAAGTAAAGACAGTTAAGCTGCAATGGGGAGATATTTTGGGTACACAGTATTGGAACAGTACAATAAATAGAAAGATCTCCTATTTCAGATGTAAGTCTAATCTTTTACTACACCTACGTGAAGCATTTTAATTTGTCATGAGTTATCTAAAGTTAAATATTTTTAACTCCTTTTGATCTCAGTGGGGAAAATTAAGCATGTAATTAATACTTTTTCCTTGTCTGTATTTGGTCTTTCAAATGCTTGGCTTTGTTTTATAATCTATTGCTCATGTTGTGACTGTGAATTCATATTAATGTAGAAATGGCATTTATTATTGCATTTATTAAGTAAGCACTAATTTTATTGTTCATGGTAGGAGATACATTTTTCTTTTAGGTAGGGGCAGCAGTTTTTGTCTTTATAAGAGATATTCCAAGTACCAGTTGGAAATATTTGATGGTATAAAAACCCAACTAGTTTTGGAAAATTTCTTTTTAAAGGATTTACAAAACAAAACCTTATAAATGTAAAAATGCCTATTAATATTTTTCCAAAGACAATAACTACTGTTAAAGTTAAAGTAACTACTAGTAAGTGTGCTAGCAGCTTCTCTTCAAACAAATGTAGCTGTAAACATAGCTGATTTTTTTTTTAAATCAACATTCTGTAGCTTCATTTTTAATAATTAGGAAATAAAAATGTTAAAGCTATTTTTGAAAGGCTTTTTCAATACAGGTAGTTCTTGGTTAATGTCAGCAATTGGGGCTGGAAATTCTATCACTAAGCAACACAATCATAAAGCATGCCATGTAATCTTACTGCTTAGTGATGGAAATTCTGGTACTCCCAGTTGTCATCATTAAGCGAAATGTGCTTCTTCATTAAACACGATATCACATGGATGCCAATTGTGACCTCCTGCCGGCTTCCCCATTGACTTTGATAGTAGGAAGCTGGCAAGCAGCAATAATTACCATTAGGACACTGCTAAGGCTGGAAGTTTGATGACCAGTTGCAAGTACCATTCATTCACCATCATGGTAAATGTCACTGCATGGGTGGTAATGGTGTGGATTTATTTTCTTTTGTATAAGACTTTGAAACAAAATTTAAAAAATGATAAATGAAAATAAACCAGATTTTTTAAAAACATGGATTTAATGAGTTATACCTTCTCTTTTCCAAAAATGGACATATTTTGTTTTTTCAAATGGTTATCCTTGCTGTAGCTTCATCTTACCTGACATAATTGTTTTGATATTTTAGTAACAAATTTAGGATAATAAAATATTCATTATAAAATATATTTCTTTTACTGTAGATTCAAATTACATATTGTGTTTTTAGTATTACCTAAATTCATTCAAGTTTTTACTTGAATAAAATTGCTTGATGTTATTAAGCAGCCTCTTCGATAAAGACATTTTTCAAACTTTGTGGTTTCTCTGCAGTAAAATAATTCTAATTGATACTTCTAATGCTCTCCCCCTTTTTATTTATTTTTCTTCCAAATCAGTGATTTCCAAACCACTGAAATATTGGGGACAAAATATGCAAAGGAACTCAGGTCTCTGCCCATTAGTTTTGTCTACTATTAAAACCTGAAAGAATTTGAACCACATTTGTTATGATGGGATAAATTGGCAAAAGAGATAGCACATCTGAAACTGGACGGGCTGTGGAGAAAAATATTTTATGAAAAAAATATCCGTGGTGCATCCCAGTAGGAAAGGAAGTTGGGCAGCTGCTTAAAATGTTGGCAGCTGTTCCATTCTAAGTTTCCTCCCTTCTCCCTCTGTGATGCTTTGAGCTTTCCAGTTCACCTCTATAAACACACACAGATAAACATGAGGGGAAAATGATACCTCACAAACACAAACACACACTTCACTAAACAGAAGAAAATGCTTATGCCTTCTATGGCCAGTGTTGATGAAGGAACTAGAAGGAATTGTAGAAGCTATGCTTTCCCTGACTTAGTTTGGCTTATAGTGCCTACTTTTGTTCTTTTTGTTTATTGTAAGAAGTGTGACACCTTATAACAAATAGACATTTGGCCAGTCATAATGCCCTCCCATTCCTTTTACACTGGTAGTTTCCCCCTAAAAAAGTAAAGGACTGGGGCAACTGTTACTTGGAAAGGTTTAAAAGGCTCTGTATACAAAAGGACTAGGGGTTGTTGTTGTGTGGTGTGTGGGGTTTTTTTTTTTTTTTTGGCCAACATAGCTCTCTATTGGTGTAATTGTCCTTGATAATTATGTATAAAGAGATGAGCAGTGAGGAAAAAGCTTTCTTATTTATTAGATTTATGCAGAAAAGCTAAAGTAATTCCAATATTTTAACTACTGGAGATAAACAGTATGTAAGGCAAGTAGTCAGTAAAGGCAAGTAAAATATCTTGAAATCTCTTTTTTTGGTCAGAGTTGCCAGAATATGTTCATTAAAATGGATTTTAATGAGGGTGGAAAATCTTGTTCCCTTAATAGTAGGAAGGGTAATTAAGGTTAAGAAAAAAACTTTGAAGTTAAACAGCTGACCCAAATAGCCGCTACCTAGATCCTTTGGTTACTATTAGCCATCAAGTATTAAGGAATAGTTCTTTTGTTTCACTCCCTCCAATTCTATTTAACTGTTACAGCAAGTATACTATGCTATTTCTAAATTAAATACTTAATTGGAATAGAGTCTGTTATGCACAGTGCAAGTTCCTGTTAAAATTAATTTGTAAATAATGATAGCAAACTACTTAGATCCCAAATTTTAAACCTTTAAACAATATTGTTTTAGTGCTTCATGATTTTTTTTTCTTTATGATCGCTCGTGATGGTAAAATGCATGAATCTTTTGTTGTGCAATGTTTTAAAAAATATTAAAAGCTTTTATTTTTTAAAAAATAAATTGCTGTGATGTGGCTCAGAATAAGGCTAGTAGAGGGCTGCTTTGTTATTTGTAGAATTCAATTTCAGTTACTATTTGCCCTTGCTTACTTTTCTTGGCTGCAATGTACGATTATTCTCTCTTACCAGATAACGGAACTGTTGTATATGGAGGAACAGAAGGCTGAACAAGAAACTGGTAGAGTTTCAATTTCTATGATTGTAACTTATCCACAAATCCGTTCTTCTGGGTAATGATAGGTTTGAGGGATTACAACCGTAAACATTGATTATTTCTTTTTGAAAGTGAAATTTGAAAACATGTTGGGTAAAAATTTTACCCAGATGATCACAGTATATTTTGTAGAATCCATGAGATTTTATTAGTGTTTTTCCTTTTTAATGAAAAATGTACTTGAGATGCTTATATAGTAAGTAAAATGAACAGATTACCGGGATAATGTAATCAAGCATTTACAGATGGAGGTAAGATTCTTTTTAGAAGGGCATTAATACAAATATTTTAAGAAGCTATTAATTTAATAGCTTTTTGTAATGTTTTAATAACAAAAGTTACATTGTGACAAAAATATTTTCAATAATAAGAAAATACAGTATGCATCACTATGTAGTTTCTTTATTGGAACCTCATTTATTCTTCCTGGTGCTTCAGTGTCAAAATTAATACCATTAACCTATACAGCATCTTTTGTTAAACTTAAATTTCATTGGCTAATAAGCAGCTCCCCACAGGATTATTGGAGCTGGTGATTAAATATCATTTAATATTCTTTATTGTGTTTACATTCATCCACTAGCTTCAGAAAAACCCTGGAAATAGTAAGAAATACATGCGGCTGTGCCTATGAAGCTTTAAAAAGCTCTATTTCTTTTTGAATAAATGACAAAATATTTACGGCAACTATTTTGGGGTGGTGGGCAGGAAAGTGGGAGAGAGGCCTTGGGCAGTGCTGCTTTTGTCACACAGCCATGGAAAAATAGATTGAAGAAAGATTTTGTTCTGAAAAGCTGTCATTCGGTTTGAAAATAATTAATATTCCTTTCACTCACCAGTTAGATATGTGCTCCCAAACCACATAATCTCTATGCCTCAGTGATCATTGTTGCCATTTCAGAGCCTCTCATCAGGGTGACATCTCACACCAAAATGATTTCTTATAAATTAATCTTGATAACATGACAGTGTCAGTAATTTTAGTGGAATGCTTTCTCTTGTCTTCCCCCCACCCCCACCTCGCAGAAAATATTGGCCGTTTTCTTTATTCCTTGATTGACAACATGACTGACTCAGAGGTACAGGACAAGGAGGAGCAGTTGAGACAATACTTCCATCAGCTGCAGAAGATGGTACTATTTCATTTTTTTGCTACATAATGCCCATCCTTCCTGACATGTATCTATTAGATTTGAAATTGCAGCTTTTAAGTACAGCCAGACCACTTCTCAATGGCATGCAAGTGTTGGAGATTTAAATTATGTCTGAAATTTGTGTAACAGAAATTTTTTTGTTTGGTTGTGCTTTTAAAACTCACATGATTTTCTCCACCTCTTCCTACAGAATATAACGATTCTTCCTACCTACTACAAAGGTATTCGCAAAGTGCTGATTGAATACAACGTTCCCAATTTAATTAAGGTCTGTAATTGCAAATGTTATTTTATGTATAATTATATAAAACATACATATATACAATCATATTCATTCCAAGTGTGTAGTTACCTTAAAAATTAATAAGCCTGATGTATAAAATTAGTTTTATTTAATCCTTTTCTGAAATGAGGAAGCATATTTTAGATAGAATGCTAAAGTTTTAAGGAGACAAATAAGACAGGGCAACTCTTAAATGTTGATAGCAATCTTAACAGCAAAACAAAACCACACATTCCTTGAGTTTTTTAATTTATCATAAACACATTGATGCTTATATTCAAATATATATCAAGCCATTAATTATATCTTACAGTGTAATTTTATTGGCTTCTGATGAGCAGCTGTTAAGTGTATGTACACACCTATTTAAATGGGTTAGCATTAAATAATTTTGCTACATAACAAGAATGCATGGCTTCCAAGTTTTATTGTACAAAAAAAAGAGTTTTGATCCTAGCAATAGTAAAAATATGTATTAGTTGAGGACTTTCTAACTGGTATTTCTAACTCTTCCATAAATTGATTTGAAACCTTAAATGGTTGGTTGCTATGACTTAATTTCCTCTTAAGGATAGAACTATTTATAGTTAAGAATTTCAAGCCATGTTTATGCCATGCTGATGCAGAAGATGACAGAATATACAAATTAGTCTGTCCTCACTTGCATTGGAATCGCACAGAGAACAAAGAAGAATGCTCCCAGTGGGAGAAGCCTATTTAAGACCAATAAGAATCCTAGCGAAATACATGACTGATACAACTCAACTTCATTGCCCACAACTGAGATAACAGAAATACATTTTTCAAAAGTGTAACATTAGGGTTTCCTTTGTACCTTACACATAACCCTTGCAAATATAAAAGTATATCAATAAGTCATATTGTTGCTGGGATGTGTTTCATTGTAAAACATCATTTGAATATCTTTCTATCCTTTTACCTTAGTCCTTGATTAATTCAGTAAATTTGGAGGAGAAACTTCAACAATTTAAAGCTGAAAACAAACCCATTGGAGATATTCTAAAGAACTTTATAGTTGCTCTGTGTTCAGAAAAGGTAATTTTCAGCAGATTTGTTTATTGTATTATTAACAGAGTATGATAAGTAAATTAAATACTTCTAATTATGTATAGCACCATCAGTTTAAATGACACTTTACAGAGTAACCTAAGTAAAATACAAATCCTAGCCACAAGAGACTTCATATAGGTGGTGGTGGGGGACTTAAGGAGAGATTATGAAAGTCATTAGAGCTCAAAATGAACAAATACAATTATATGTGTTTGTTTCTTGTCAAACTGCAAATGCATGTAGGCGATTAAGGAAAACTAGTATTTTCTAGATTTCAGGTTTGCTCCTTGAAACTCTAAAGTATTAAAAAAATTAGTGAAAAAAACCCCTCAATGCTGATTTTTAGTTACCTTGTGAATGACATGTTTTGAGATTGTGGAAGTCTGTTAATGGTAATCTGCAAAATGAATGATAGTAACAGCTGTGAAAGGTTTATCATACATGCCAAGTGTCCTTTCAAGCCACCGCTCTGGTCTCTTACAACTAGATTGTCAAGCAACTGATACATGTATAATAATTTGCAAGTCAAATATTAAAAGGTAGTTAATGTGGGGACTGAAATTCCATTTTTTTTCCCTTGAAGAAAAGCTTTCTGAGATGCAGAGGCTCTTGTCTTCATTAGCAGGCATCCAACTTTAATTCATATTTTTGTATAGAACTTCATCTTGCTCCGAGTTCCTATACATGGGCCCTGAATTTTGTTTTACATGGCACTGATGCAATGTCTGATTTCATAGTGAATTAAACTATATTTTATTTTTAAAAATATAGCAATATATGAGAATTTTAAATTTATATCATGCCAGAAAATTGAATTATGAACAGCTTTGTCTTCTTTTTAATTAATCAATTTAACATGTTCTCTGCTCATTGATATATTTAAGTGATTGTGATATATTAGCTGAAGATATAAAATGTGAAAATGTTTTGCCATGAAGTTCAATGTGATATAATTAATGATATGCATACTTCAGAAATCAGTGAAAGCATATATTGCAACAGGATAAAAGTTTATAATGAACATATTTAAACTATTTACTAATTTATAAAAAAATCATTTGCACATAAATGTAAAGCATACGAATTGCTAAGAAGCAGTGCAATGTGTAAGCATATATAAATAAATGTAATTTCCTAGTATGATATAAAATGTCATGTTGATTTTCTTTTTCTACTTTGTATCTTTTGCTTAATGTTCCTTCTAGAATATGCAGAAAGCTCTTGAAATAAAAGCCAAATATGAATTCGACATGAATGTTGTGGGCTATGGAGCCTTAATACGCCTTTGCTGTCAAAATGATAATGTAGAGGAAGCAATGAACCTGAAAGAAGAATTGTAAGTACACTGGCACTGAAAGATGTCACAGAGATTTATGCTGATATACAGTCCTTATTGAATTAAGTAGGTTGAATATTATCACCTCCCCCATACATTTTTAATTAGCTTATCCCACACAAAATATTTTCTGTTGAAATTCAAAATTGATTGTGTAAGCTGTCATGATTACACAATCGCTTTTGTGCCAGCACTTTTGTTAGTGTTTTAGGCTCATATTACTCTGTATTATATTTCTCTAATCTATTTCTGAAGAAGTCTTAGAATCTATCTTGGTATCTAGCTTTAGATTCTGATTAGTAATACATCTACAGTATGGATTGCTGCAATTCTTGTAAGTGGTATTATTTTAATAATTATCTTCAGTTATTATGCTTTTTGTTTTTCAAAAGGCAACAACTTGATTGTGAAAATTAGCTCCCAGCTAAAACTTGTAATTCTGTAACTGATTTGAAAAGAAGCAAAGTGCTTTTCAGCACTTAATTTTCTCTTTAATTTTTTTTAAAAATTGTACTCTTGAGATACTTGTTTTAAATTAAAACAAATAAGTATAATAAACTGAAATAGTTTTAAGATTTTCCCTTAGTTATTTTGGCATTAAAAGTTTGTGATTCAGCATATGCAACTTTATTAACAACTCAAAACTGTTATACATCTGAACTTTCTAAAATAATTTATTGATTTTAAGATATTTGTTTCCGTTTTTGAACCAAAAATACTTTTTGGTGGGTTACATATATTCAGTGAAAAACATTCCATATCCATAAACATATTAACTAAAAGTAGTTGACCCAAAAAGTAGAAAGATTGGGGAAGGGTGAAGAAAAAAACCCCGACCTTCAACGGATAAATAGTAGTTCTTCCATTATATCCAGTTATAGATATTCATAGAAGGGGTAAGAAAGACTGGTGGAATTGTTTGTTGTCTTCTTCTATTGCTGTCTAGTAAACTTTCTGTTGCTGACTAACAGCTGAAGAGGAGCCACATAGAGTATTTTTGTATCAAATATTTGTCACTATTTTTATATCAGTATTTCAAGACAATGCAAAGTCTCATACACACATAAATATTTCTTGTAATGTTTCTAACACTGACACATCCATCAAATGTAGTTGAAATTTGAGCACATCTCTTTAATCTCCATGGTAAACAGTGCTTTCTCCAGTTTAGATGATCTATAAAGTGCATTTGCTCAGTCCGTTCACCCTTTGCAGAATTTGCAAACAAATGAAAGTCCTTACAGATCACAATTTGTAAACTTCCCTACCAGTTTCCCCACAAACAAAGAGAATGGGAAGCCAGCAGGGAAGGTTGCAGCTCACTTCAATAAGTCTTTCCCAGCTTTCCTGTGCTCATTAGATCTTACGCTCTGCATTCCACAGTCTCCCTCTGCTCACATGGTGCTGAAGCACCCCACTTCCCCAGCCTCCCCTAACTAGCATGTACCCTGCACCAGGCCCCAATGTTACCCATGCACTCTTTACCTGGGACTCACATACCTTCCTGCTTAATGACCTATACTTCTTGGGACTATAACAACACCTAGGACTGCTGGGATGGTCATCACTAAGCAATGCAATTACATGACACCATGTTTTACAACCATATCACTCAGCAGTGGCAAGGCCAATGACATAAGTGTCATTAAATTCAGCATAAGCTTAGTTATACTTGGGTCCTAGTGCAATTATAAATATAATGGACATTTGATGTCCATTTGATGTCAACGGGATCTTAGTTCATGTTAGCCTTGATATATCCTATTAGCAGTATTGCTTGATAATATATCTTAGGTTTCTCTTTTTGTACATATTTTTACATAAGTCTTGCGATATACAGTATTTTCTTTAAAACAGAGATTAAAAACAAAGGCACTGCCCTTTAGTCTTTCCAATACTTTGTTTCTTTTTACATTCATCAAGCCCTCTATTAATGCAGCTGGATTTAATTTGATGTCTTCAAACAAATGTGCTTCTGTCAGTATCTTAATGTTTCAGCAATAATATTATCATTTTATCCAGTTATTGGGACTAGTTTCATTCCATGTACTATTTCTAGGTGAACATGCATCAGCTTGTGCATTGAGATTATTGTATTCCAATATGATGTAAGAATTGATTTATTTCTTTTTATATATTTTAGTTGCCGTAAAGATTCATCTGATGTTCTTGAATTAAATACTTACCTAGAATTGATTAAGATTTTGATGAAACATGAAAGACTGGATGGTAAGCAATGCATGCTTTCTTTCAATGTATATTACTGTTATATAATACAGATATCTCTCCACCAGAATAAAAATATTAATGGTATATCATGCCCTACAAAGTGCTTGAACATTTTACATCCAAATTTGCATGTGAATTCAACCAGAGATACTTGGACGATGTAGGCCATTAGTTTTAATGGACTGGCAAGCTTGTCATTTACATTTGCACAGCTCAGTGCTTTTTGCATTTCTGCAGCTAGTTTTTATTAGCACTGCTGTTAGGATTGAGTTTGAAGATCATGACTTATGGCACAAATTGTGTATGTGCCTTGACTAATGGCCTTGTTTTTCCTTAAGAAGGTGTGAAGCCTGAGTGTAAAGCCTGTAAACATAACCTCTTTGAAAAGTGTCTAAGCACTCTTGGAGAAAAAATGATTTTTTAAAAGAAATACAGGATTAGGTCTTAAAATTGTGTGTTACAGGACTTGTAAACTGTAAGTTATTGGCATAGTTAATTAGAAGAAAATCTGACATTGACTAGTGAATTTGAATATGATATTCTGTTAGATGATTTATATTAAATTTCTTTATTTAAAAGGGTAAAGGATGTGTGTGTGTGTGTGTGTGTGTGTATAATATACATATTGTGTGTGTTTGTATGTGTTTTAGAGTGATTATTTTCATAAAAGGAGTTGATGTTTAGATCAGATACCTATACAATTAAAAGGTGCTATTATGTCAAGCTTTCAAAAGCCCATAGCATGCTGCAGGAAATATTTCAATAGATGCTTTTATGTAAAGTAGTCAAAACATTTTGCTTGTGCAGTAATTAAGAACATTACAAAAATGGTCTTATTCCATATATGAAAATGTTTGTTTCTGCCTTTCTAATGAAGATTAATGAACCTAATGTTTTAACATGCAATCTCTTAGAAAGCTTTCATTGGCTCTCCTTGGCTAATTAGTATCGACACAGCAAACAGGCCCTATCGGTATCAGACCATTAGTCTGGCTCTATATACAGTGTAAACACATCTTTATTATTTGGCCTCGTGACAAGCCATCTGCTGAAGAAACAATGGTGTGATTTAACAGATGTTAGCACCAAACGATAAAAGCATCCATTTAGTAGGATCTTGTTGCTATAGGGCAGACTCTACAGGGTTATGTGGTGCAGAGTGGGCTCACAGTTCCCATCTGTAATTTGTAGTCAAAGTTGCAGCAAAATGATAAAACCATGCTTTGTGGATTCATAATTGTAGTCTCGTTTAGAAATGCAAGTAGTAATTAACTTGAAATTGGCATTATACACCAGAATTTACATTCCTGCTGGTTTTTGAAAGGCTGTTTTAATAGCAGTTTGTTTTTTTTCCCTGTATATAAAATTACCTAAGGCTTTTTTTTGTGTGTGCTGTGGTTTATTGTAGATGCTATTAACATTTTAAAGGAGATGAAAGAGAAGAATGTCTGTATTAAAGATTCAGCTGTCACACAATGTTTCCATATCCTTAATAATGTAGCCTTCAAAGGTGAAGTTGAAAAGGTGAATCAGCTGCATGAGGCTATGGTAGACCTGCTGTTACCACAGTCTTCTGTAAAATTGTGTTCTCCCCTTGTTACTGTTCACTTGAAGAGGTAAGTTGGTTGACACCTGCAGTTAACTAAAAAAGCAAAGATACTTACTTTCACGTTTACATTTTACGCACACTCTTTACATGCTTTCTGTATACTGCAGTTCTGCGAGCCTATACTTAGAGAACCTCATTAAATCCAATAATTAACTACTTTATTGTTGTTGTTATGTCATCATGACCATCATGTTTTTTTTGTTTGCAGTATTTCTTTCATTTTGTGAAACTAATAATCTTTATCTTTATTTGATTTATATACCGCCCTACTCCTGAAGGATTCAGGGCAGTGAACAGCCAAACGATAAAATACATAAATACAAAATTTAAAAACAGAATAAAACCGAATTAAACAATTTGGCCCAGACAGATTTAAAACACCCCAATCATTTAAAAACAGATTAAAATTTTCATATTAAAAAGAAAAAGGGGAAAGATTAGGCCAAAGAAACAAAAGATGTTTTAGGTCACTACATCCTCTAAGAATTATTGATATTCCCACCACTCTATCTCCAAAAGCTAGTAAAGTTGGGTTTGGGTTAAGCTTACTTCCTGATGACTAACATAGATATATCTTAGGGGTGTTAAACTTGCAGCCCACGTGCTGGATGCATCATGTGCTGGCCACTCGCACACCTGGTTTAGCAAAGGGGAAAAAAACCGTGACGTGTCACATGACGACGCCCTGACAATGCGAGTTTGACACCCCTGATATATCTATTTAGTTTCCTTGGCTTCGCTGGTTTTCCATTGCCTTCTTCAAGGCTGTTTTTTTCAGCTTTCCAGAGTGGTTTATAGCAGCGATCCCCAATCTTTGCGGCTTGGTGGCCCGGCTGGGTTGTAGGAGTGGAATTGGGCTGCGCAAGTGGCGGGCCAGCACACACACAAAGCTCAACTTGCTTGAGCATCTGGCCCATGTGCAAGTGCCCACCGGGCAGCCACACACGCAAGGGCCGCATGCGCGCCCTGGCCCACCACTTGTGTGGCCCAATTCCAAACAGGCCATGGACCAGCAGCGACCTATTTGGGGACCCCAATCTGCCACATAGTATGTGGCAGAACTGGGCACCTTATTCCTATTATAGGTAAACAGTGTTGTGAGGGCTCCGACGAATGCCCTAATTTGGATCTGTAAATAGGATTAGACTAATGGTAGGACTATAAACTATTATAGGGGCATTTTAGAAAGTGAAGTAAAGTTTCCTTTTGAATCACTGCACAAGGTGTTGTGACCTGGCAGCTTTTCGAGGGTAGAGTGCCAACATTCCGAACGCTTCCCCGCATTAACTTGTCAAGCACAAAATGCACTTTAATTACAATGTTCTCCTATCTTCATTTACCAAACAGATATGCAGAAATCCTTCAGAGTTGCTGTTTGGGACAATTAGTGGAAGCTTCTCTTATTTGGATATTCCCTTTATTCCTTCTCAGAGCAGATTTACAGTTCTTGGTGTACCAATAGCTTTCAACAGACCCTTCTCATGAGCTTATAAATACGTTCTGCTTTCATCAGTTCATGGAGTCTATTCCATAAATTCTGGAAAGTTACATTGAAATGGTGGGGCATGTAGTGAATCTTTTTTTTTTTTCTCTTTCAAGGGCAGTGCATCGTAATTTCATTTTAATGTGTGCCATTGTGTATACAGGAAAATGACAATAAAGGTTATTCTATTCAGTTCAATTCAATCTCTTATTTTGGAGGATCGAAAAGAAAAAAAAATGTCTATGACCAAGCCTTTTCTAAGACCAAAATACAAGTGACACTGACAGTTCAGGGACTAATCGTAGAGTAGCATGCCAAGCCAAGCAATTACAAGAGGATACAACTTGGAATGTATTCTAGACAGATTTTTTTTTTGGTCACACATGCAGGGATGCAGCCATCAGTCTCTGTTGTATATCCTGGAGCATAATGATTGCTTTCTATTAGCTTCCTCTCCAGTCTCAAAGACTGACATCAACATCTGTTCAGTTATCCTTTGTGCAATGTCAGGATGGTTGATAAACAGTTGTAAAGCAGCTCTGGTGGAATATTCCATTTTTAATTCTCACCAACAAACACGTACTGATTTAAGAGGTTGGCATCAGCAGCAAAGTCAGTACACAATCCTTATCGTTGGAGACAGTATGGAAGTCTGAGAATCATACTTAATCTAAAACTGCATCTCTTTGTGTGTATTAACACACTTCATATGTGTATTAAATCATCTTCAATATTTTCTTAATTTCCATGTTTATATGAGGCCATTGCACTAGAAACAGTATTGGTCAAGCTGCAATAGTTATTTATTCATTCCTTCAATTTATACAGCTATTCATCATCTCACATGTGTGACTTTGGGCAGCTAACACATTTAAAAACAAATTAAATAATTAAAATCATAAAATATAATTCACAGGACAGTGCAGTCCATACATTACAAACAGTTAATCTTTCAAATATAAGGTATTAGTTTGTAAATAATTTTTGTTTTCATTCCTAATACATCCCTTTTTTTCTTGACTCACTGGTCAAGAGTATTTTATGACAAGTTGAATGTATTTGTATTCTGTTTCTCTTCTCAGGTCAACATTGAGCTTGTTGTTGGTTTAATAATGTTATTTGTTAGAATTACGTCCTGCCTTTCCTCAGAGTATCTTGCCTGGGTTCCCTTTTCATTTTCTCCCCTCAGCAGCAACCCTGCAAAATAGTTGGGGCCGAGAGACTTAAAGATATTAAATTCTTTTAAACTCGGAGCTCCATTCTTCAAAACTGTGGTTTTGATTGTCGTACCATTGGGGGTGTTAGAATGCTCCAGACATAAGAAATGGTAATATTAAGAACAAGCCGCTTATTGCTATTTCAAGTTGACTATAATATTTACAGGCTTCGCTAAATTTATATGTAAGTATTTGTTTGTCCTGAATATTTTGTTCATATGCAGGTGAGATAGAGAATAAGTCAGATGATAACTATTACTCTAGTTTTTACATGTAAATATTCAAAAATCTTTCACAATCTTTTCCCAAGCTTTTGAATGTGATAGCTGTGTTATCACAATGTGTACTGAGGAGTTGATGGAGAAATGAGATGATTTTCACTTCTGCAAATGGAGCTTTTGCATAGTGGGAGGGTGGGATAATGCCCTGGAAAAAAAATATCATTTTTAAATGCTCTCAGGTTATCTTAATTTTTTATATGTAAAAGTCTAATCTTGAAAAATCTAATTTTTATATTACTAACAAACAACTAGTAGAAATTATGACCATACATTTTGTATGAAGAATTTTATCTTCCTGTGTTTCACCATGATAAGTTCAGATCTACCATATTCTAGAATGCAGTTGGAAAGTATGCCGCATAGGTGCCAGATTATTATTCATTTTTACAGTAAATTTTATCGTTCCTATGAACCTGAATGAAGTTGTGATGGGGTAAAATCTGTTTTTTGGAATGGTTGCTATTGCTTCCTTCCTAGGGTTAAGTGAGAGTGTTTGGCCCAAAGTCATCCATCTAGCTTCATGCTGAAGTCAGGACTAGAACTCACATGCTCTCAATTTCTAGTCTGTGCCTTAAGCACTATGGCAAATTGGTTCTCATTCCTGCTCTTAAACTGGTGTAAAATCCAGAGGCAGAGGTTCTATCAAGGGGAACATATCAACTGACACCCCCCCTCTATTTTTTCGAATATAAACTGCCTCTCTGAATGTGTGCCAAGATCATTTTATTAGTCGTACATGTCATATAAGGTATCTGCATTCAGTTTTGTCAGGATGCCAGATAAATGGGGCAGCTTCTTATTGGCTCATGCTACTCTGTGGTAGTGTGTATAATTACTAGCTAGACCAGATACAAAACATGACCAGATAGGCTAATTCTACTTTATCATATAGCTATATTAACAGAATCTTGAAAGTCTGAAAGTGCAATTTTCCTGCCGTCGTCTTTACAGCCTGAAAAACTAAGGGCAATCCCTTGTGAGCCTCTTCCCTGCCAATTTTGCAGTTCCAGGCTATACTATTCCTTACCTGATTATTTCTTAGACAGTCCCCATTGTCTCCAAAGGTCTTTCCCATATAGCTTTGCAATAATTTGGTTTATCACAGAGACATGGCAAAACTTTTAAAATGTGTTATTCAAGCTTAACACAAGCTTATTAGATCACCTTCTGACCAGATGTTTAAAAAGTGCTACTTTCTCTGCCTATATTTTCTGGAACAAGGTTGATGATATCCAAACAGGTTTGTGGCAGTCCTGTGAAAGCTCCCTTTTAGCAAAAGTGGGGTGGGTGGATTTGGAGCCAGAAATAACATTTTTATTCAGTCAGATCATCTGACACTCAGCATTATTTTGCTATTTAAATATATTTCTAAACTGTCATTCTTTTACAAATGATAGATAACATTTTTATTTTATTTAGCATTCACAAAAAATTGTGAACTTTCTTACTGCTTTTCCCCCCTTTGACTGGATATATTTATAGTATTTTTTCTGAGCTCTTACAATAATTTTTATCAAAGCTAATAAGCCCATAAGGTTTCTTGACATGATGATGCTACTTAGGGAACATACAGGTAGCCTCCAACCTATGACCACTCATTAGTGACTGTTTGAAGTCACTATTTGAAGCACTGAATGAAGGGGCTCAAAGTTACTTCCTTTGCAGTGGCCCCACAGTAATGTGATCAGAATTTGGTCACATACGTATGACCACAGGGGCACCGCAGTTCCCCAATATGTCTCTGTCTGTCCTTTTGGCCTTCTGCCATTGTGTGCTCTGCCACCCAAGAGGATCTACCATCCTGCACCTGCCACCCCTTGGCTACTTTATACTCTCCCCCCCCCTTTTTTTTTTCCAGCACAAATCCAGTCCCAGCCCTGTGCAGGAACTCTTTGCAAAGAGTTGTTTTGATGTATTGCAGCTCAGGGCCCTGCTTTAGTCTTTTTTCCCCCTCACTGTGCAACATCAGACTCAGCCCAGCTGAAGAGCACAGCACAAAGGGGCACTTTGGTGCACTGCTGCTGGG